CCAAAGATACAAATGTAGTGATCCAAAGGGGTATGTGCAGCCCAATGTTTATAGCAGCAATGTCCACAATAGCTAAACTATGGAAAGAGCTAAGATGTCCATCAACAGATGAATGGATAAAGAAGGTGTGGTATACATATACAATGGAATATTATGCAGCCATAAAAAAGAGAAATCTTGCCATTTGCAACGATGTGGATGGAACTAGAGGGTACTACGCTAAGCAAAATAAGTCAATCAGAGAAAGACAGGTATCATATGATCTCACTGATATGAGGAATTTGAGAAACAAGACAGAGGACCATAGGGGAAGGGAGGAAAAAATGAAACAAGATGAAACCAGAGAGGTAGAGAAACCATAAGAGACTCTTAATCTCAGGAAACAAACTGAAGGTTGCTGGAGTGGAGAGGGGTGGGAGGGATGGGGTGGCTGGGTGATGGACACTGGGGTGGGTATGTGCTATGGTGAGCACTGTGAATTGTGTAAGACTGTTGAATCCCAGACCTGTACCTCTGAAACAAATAATACAATATGTTTTAAAAAAAGAAGATAGTAGGAAGGGAAAAATGAAATGGGGGAATCAGAGGGGGAGACGAACCATGAAAGACTGTGGACTCTGAGAAACAAACTGACGGTTTTGGGGGGGGTGGGTTAGCCCAGGGATGGGTATTAAGGAGGGCACGTATTGCATGCACCACTGGGTGTTATACACAAACAATGAATCATGGAACACTACATCAAAAACTAATGATGTAATGTATGGTGACTAACATAATATAATAAAATAAAATTTAAAAAAAGAAATTCTATTGCCTGTATTTAATGTTTAATTTGTATTTTGAACATTTTTAATAATCACATATATTGTATTAACATTCAGGTTTCTATTTTCAATCCAAGATTAAAACATTTATAACATCTACTAGGGACATTATCTTTTTTTTAGCTCTTGAGGATAAAATTCCCCACATAACATGTAAGGCTATTGCTTGATTTTCATATATTAAACTTTTCATGTACGTTTTCAGAGACTCATTAAACACAAAAATAGACCTGCCTCCAAAAAAATGTAATGGGCAGAAAAAAAAAACTTAGATGTAACCATTAGACCCTTGGGCTAGAAAAAGAAATATCTAGGTGTTTTACGAGCTTTCTAGCAAGCTTAATCAATTTTGTTTCCCTACCATTTTCTTTTTGTTTTACCAGATAAAGCATGCTGGTGTCGTTAGTTCTCCCTTAGCAGTTATGGATATTATGAGATTATTATACATCCTGCCTATGAATATTTTGGACTCCAGTTTCTTTGTCCTGTAATTTTTAAAATATGGGCTCCTTCTACCCCACTGCTTTGGTACAATCTCTTGTGGTGAGTTAGAGGAAGGACACCAAACTGGCTTTGAGGCTTCTGGCAGAACATTAGTCTTGTGTGGCTGTGGTTACCACTAGGTTATTGCTGAGAAATCATGTCAAAGGCCTATGCATTAAATACTGTTAGTGGTTTTAGTCCATTCATTGTTCCCATTTGAATAAAATAAAAACTCTTGTGCAACAGGATTTCTGGGGGTGGTGGGGAAAGCTTTAGGTTCAATAAAGGCCAGGTTGCTCTCTGCGTAGACTGGATTTACTTCTGTTTTACTCAGCCATTATCTAGACAGGCAAGAGAAATTCTGTCTCTAAATGTTCTACATGGTTTTCATATCTGGTAGAAACATTAAGGATAATGGTAATAATAATCAGAATGTACCATATACCAGGTTAAGTACTAGTGTAAAAACTTAGCATGTCTATCTTGCTTGATAAGAGTCATAATCACAACCAGTATCATTTATAAGTCCCATCTATAAGCCAGGTGCTTCACCTACATTATTCTATCTCCACAACACCTTTCTGAGAGAGGTGCTTAGAGATCGGGGAATAAAGGCACTGACAGTTAAGAAGTATGTCCAAGATTACACAGGCGGTAAATCACAGAACTGGGATTTAAACGCAGACTCTCGGGCCTTTTTCATATAATGCAGTCGAATCGATTTTTATACTTAAAAAAGCACTTGGTCACTTATTACTTTATTTCACTTTGACAAGAAGATAGTAGTATCTCCACATTAAAAGTAAGGAAAATGAGACACGAAGAGGGTCAATGGCTTGCCCAACTTCACACCTGAACGGCAGAGTTGGTCCAGAGTCCCCATTTCTGGCCATTAATGCGATACCTTTGCTGCTGTTCACCCACCCAATGACCAGGTGAGTTCACGTTAAGAAAGCACAGTTTTAATCCCTGCACTCCAAACAAACCTTAAGAGGGTCATCATCCTTGAATTCCTTGAAACCATTGTTTTACACCTAGTCTAATCACGGTAAGGAAATAGGCAGTAGTTTAAATATCCAAGAACCCAAAGCGCCTTAGTTTGTGCCAGCAAACATTGATCTTCAAAGATAGAGTTCTCAAGAGTTTTACATTCCAAACCACACTTCCCAATAAAAATGATCCTCCAGAGCAAGTTCCAAAGTAAGCTCCAGGCCTGGATCCCAGGCCATGAGTTCTATGGGAGGGTGTCATCCACAACCCACCAGAAATTTGGCACGTTGTTTAGACAACCCGTCTCCATCAAGCTGCCTTTGATGGCAAAGCCAGATGGTCTTCTCTGGGCACCAGCTGACCTCCTCCTGCTCACCTTCACGGGGCTCTCCTCTTCGGTCGCCCTTTCCCCTCCAGCTCCTAGAGCCCTGCACAAATGCTCCTCTTTGCCAAGAAGATACATTGACTCAAATGATCAGATAACTATGCTGATCATTTTTCTTGGCCAATCAATGCTGTGTCACTTCAGGTCTCTAGAAAATTTCCTCCAACTACTTGACAGCCTTATCCACTTACAGAGTTCTTAAAACCTAGATGCAGGTTGAGCCCAGATTCTAATTTCAAATCTCCGTTGGCACTTGGGATATGTTCTGTCTTCCATCTCCAGCTGGCCCACTGTCATGCCCTTTCCTCTGGAACGAAGACTTCCCCACATTCATCTCCACATTCCTCACACTTACACTAGTGGAATTTATAGCTTGCTAACTCAGCCTTGCCCCAAAGAGCAAGCAAAGGGGAATTTGGTTCAGGGCCCGCCTGCTAGGCAGAAAATAGTCAGTCAAAGTTCCAATTTTTGACCTTTTTGCCCAAATTTTCCCTCCTGTGCCCTTTCCCCATTTGAAAGACTTGCCTTCTAGAGGTCTCTGCTTAACTTTTTCAGCACCCAGCACTTGACTTGAACACTGCCTTGTTAAGTTTCAGAAAAAAAAAAAAAAGACCTACTTTCTGTAGAAAGTTTATGGAATCAGACCCTTTTCCTGCTCCAAAGTATTCCTCAGCAGTCTAGTAGGAGGTGTTTTTGAAAGATGCGTAGACTCCTGCAAGCCATCTCAGTGTCCTTAGGTTAATCACTGCCCACGAAATGACCTGTGAAATTGGGTAAATTTCTACTCCACCACACTGAATGGTAGCGTGGATGACCCTAAGAGCCCCCCTGACTTCTTAGAGTTCTCAAAAGCAACTTAAACAAAGAGAAGACCTCATCGAGTCAGGGTCCCCTCAGCCATTTCCTGTTTTACAGAAAGCAGACACTTGGACTCATTTACTCATTCATTCAACAAACATTTTTTTTGTGTCCCGGCTCAGAGCCAAGGATGAGTTATGCTGAGGGTACACCAGGGAAACACAAAATAACAATAATCCCTCCCTTCAAAGAGGCCCAGAGCCTTAGGAGGGACTCACGCCTCAAGCCCCATTTCTATTTCGGGTGGCTTGACCCCTCCTGACCTCCTGACAAACTACTGAGGGCTGGGAAAGAATTGCCCCCCTCTTCTCATTTAATCCCTCATCCCCTTTGGCAGGGGGAGTGAAGTAGAGACTGATTGGGTACAAGCTCCCCTTCCTTCCTCATGTTCATCATTTCTTAACCTCTAGTCATCTCAGTTACCTTGTCCATAAAAGAGTAGGTACTATTTCTTGTCTACTTTGTAGGGGTGTTAAGATGACTAAGAATCACATAAGTGAAGTGCCTGGCACAGAGCGATTGCTTGAAAAACAATGGCAGCTATTTTCATAAGAAATGGAAAGAGGTACAGTAATTGTCCCATAAGTCATAGCTATTAATATGGTAGTTTTTTGTCCTCAATCCAAAACTCCAAGGGCTGATCCATCAAGGTGAGGCTTAGCGGATGGCGGTGGAGGATTAGTTTTCCCTGGCTCCTTTCTCAGCCTGCATCAGGCAAACCCTGTTTGTACAAGCCTTTCTGTTCTGTCCTCAGGAGCTCAGGGTGTCTCTGCTCCTCAGGAGCTCAGGGTGTCTCGGCTCCTCAGGCAGGCCACGTTCTACCTACAGAAGCTTCCTGTGCAGCCAGGGGTCAAGCAGTTGGCAAAGTCAAGCCAGCCAGCTGCCGTGAAGTGATACGTCTGAAGGAAATCCTGGGTCAGTCCTGCAAGGGAGTTGTAAACTGCAGCCCGGATTAATCCAGGCTGTTCATCATTGTGTCTCAGCTGCTCATCCTCTCGGCCGGCTGGGCAACTGGGAAAGAACTCTAGGACCACCACTCCCCGGGGCCCAGAATGGCCAGAGGGAACAGTGGGGATTCCTGATCCGGACAAGTTCTCTTTCCCAGAAAAGGGATTAAGCATGCCCTGACAAAATTCACTCTTCCATCATTCTTTCCTGGGGAGTGAAGTGGGTGAGAAAAGAGACCTGAACCACTTATTCCTTCCCCCCTTAAAATTCCCTTCAAACCACTCCATGCATTTTGCATCTGAACAAGCCATCTATGGATCTACTGCCATCAGATGGGTCTGTGTTCTTGGTAAAATGAGGATAATGCCAACCGTGGAGGGTTGCAGTAAGAAGTAAATGAGAGATCACACGTGAAAGCACTTACGCAACTATGTGATCTGTGATGAGTACAGAATGCACACTAGGATTGCCTTTTTCTGAAGAATTGTGTAAGGCAGTATTGCGCAGGGTGAGGAAAACAAGCCCACACGTCTCTCTCAGAGCTCTCTCGCTGTAGAGGTGACCAAAACCTGACTCAAAGTCGATTAGAAGAAAAATAAAAGGAATTCACTGGCTCATGGAATTCGTAGGTGTGCCTAGACCTTGAGGCTCAAAGGAGGTTTTCAGGGCTCTTTTTCTCTCTCTCTTAGCTGGCTCTGCTTAGCTCTAATTCTCTTTGCTGTTGGCCTCATTCTCTCCTGCCACAAACAGCCTCTCTCCATGTGGGAAGGAAGACAGCCATGGAAATCATGATCCAAAAGGAAGAGGCACACGTTCTCTCCCAGTGTCCACGTTTTAAATCTCATGGCACGACTTTGGCCTTTTGTGGGTCACGTGCCCCTTCCTTGGACCAGGAGTCAACAAACTATGACCCACAGGCCAAATCTAGCCTACCTCCTGCTTTTGGACAGTGTGTCCAAAATGCTGTTGTCATTTTTAAATGGGGAAAAAAAGCACAAAAGAAAGATAATATTTTCTAATACCTGTAAATTATATGAAATTCAAATTTTAGTGCCCATAAATTTCAGTTTTACTAGACACACCGCAGCCATTCATTTACATATTGTTTATGTCTATTTTCCTCTACAACAGAAGTGGAGTAGTGGTAACGGAGACCAGATTGGCCCACAAAACCTAAAATATTGCTATCTGCTCTTTACAGAAAAATTGTGCTGACCTTGCCCTAGACCAGTCATGGTAAACAAGAAGACAGGACACTCTGTTTGGATCTGAATCATGCGCCCACACCTAGGAGACAGACAAGGTAAGATAAGTAATAATACTTTATACTTGTTGAGCACTTAGAGTATGAAGCAATGTTATTAGCACTTCATTTGTATTAGTTTACTTAGTCTTTATAATAACTTTTATTATCCCCATGCAATAGACAAAAATACTAAGGTACAGAAAGGTTAAGGAGTCTGTCCAGAATGACATAGCAAATAAGTGGTAGAGCTGAGATTTGAACCAAGCCATTTGGCTCCAGAGGTCACACACTGGCCACTGTTCAGGTCTGTTCTAGCCAAACAATGTGGGATGGGGAGTAGGACGGTTTTGAGGGTAAAGAGGGGTGTGGGGGAAAAGAAACAACAGATAACTGTGTTTTTTTACTTTTTTGTTTTGTTTTGTTTTGATCTAGTGTGAAGTGGTGTGAGATCTGCCCTTTGGGGTGGTAGTCATGGTGTTTGCTTACATTCATGGATTACTTACTTTGGGCTAATCCTAAGTACTTTGTGGATGTTGTCTCATTGAGGAAGCCAAAGCTTTGACAGGTTACCCAGGTTGCCCAGGGGTGCACGGCATCCTGATGAGAAGACAGGTCTGTCTGATCCAAGGGCCTGGGCACATAGCCATTACACCACACTGCCTCCCATCCCAGAGGATGAAGACAGATCAGCTCTCGAGCAGACATGGTAGAGAGCCTGACACATTGTAGGCACTCCATTCAGGTTAGTTTCTTCTCTTCCTCTTTCCTGACTTTTCCTATTCACATAACGGAGAGGTGTATGAGCAAGAAATCCATATGTATCCTTTGGAAGAACACTTTAAGTAAAATTTAAAAAAATCTCCCTTTAATCAGTCTTGCTGTCAAAAAGGCAGAGCAAAAATAGTAAAGGTTCAGAGAAGGGCAGTGAAAATAATGTGTGGCATGCATGGCAGAAGAGCATGCCATGAAAAGAGGCATTCCAAACCTGGGGATCATTTCATTTGGAAGGGCAAGCTCCCAGAGGCACAGTGTTTACAGTATCACAAGCTGACGACAGGTATAGGAAACGCTAATCAGGACCTGGTATTTACTTTTCCCCCAAAATACAAGAACCAGACTGTTTAACGCATTGTATAATAGCCGTGTCACCTTCCACTTTGGAACACTATCAAAGTGAGCTCTACCCTCCCTTCCTCCTGACTGTGGTGCCAAGCCACACCTCCAGCCCCAATCAGTACACAAGACACTGCGCTCTACACGTACTATGCAGCATCGAGGTTTCTAGCTGGAAGGTGTTTTGGGGCCAGGTAGATCAGCCTCCCGTGTTATACACGAAGTGCAAGCCCAGTAAGGTGAAATGGTTTGTCCAAATCTGCAGGGTGAGCTCATGGCATGTCTAGATTTAGCTGGGCCTTGCGACCGGTCAGAGGAACTGGACTGAGGTCCTGGCCAGACCTAGATGACCTTCCTGAGACTCAGTATCCTCATTTCTAACGTGGGTGGAAGATCAAATCGTGAAAGTACCCTAATGCTCAGTTTAGTATATCGTGGCTTACTGCTCAGTTTAGCACTTTTTCCTCTGTCCGTTCTGCTCCTTCGAATAGCCTTACATAGGAAAAAGAGCGCAATGCTGGACTGTTGAAAAAAATTGGAAGATGCAGCACCCCCTCCCCCTCTTGACTTCCCCCCACCAACAATAAAGTCCAAACTTCAAAAGAAACACACTCGCAAATGGTGGCCAGTCTCAGAGGCCTTTCCCGGAGTGGAACCCTGCGGTCAGATACTGGCCAGGGCAATCCTTGAACAGCTTGGTTACAATCCAAGCCTGTTTTCAGTGGGGAATAAAGTTCATGTTTTGGAGACAGTATCCTTGACTTTTTTATCCTGTTATTCAAATATTTCCTAATAATCTTCGGCATTTATACACTCAAGAGACCTTGAAGGAAAAGGATGCAGGGCTCCAGTCTTTTTTCCTTCCTTTTGCTAATGAATAGATGTTTTCTTTCTGAATTCACTGGCCCTATCACCCTATTTTTTTTAACACTCAAATAACCCTCCAAGCAAGAGGTCAACTAGCAAATGGGTAAATTACCAAGTTTTGGTTTGGACTTAATGCTATGAGTGCCTTTTCAACATGAAAAACCTAAGTGGAGAGGAATTGAAATTTGAGCAAATACATACATAACGCATCAATTAGTTGGAATAAGTGTGGGTGTTTCTGGTGCCACCTATTGGTCATACTGTAAGACTGACTATATGCAGTATGATTGGTCCTGCAAATGAATACCAAAGGGAATTTATGCTGTAGCAGTACCGGTTACAAATTTCAGCAGGTCAGCTGAATGTCAAAATAGGGTGACTGTTGCTTGAACATCATCTTTAGTCACAGCTACTTGGAAGTGTAAGACTATTTTACTATGTGGTTTTTGCCTTGGTTTATTCACCGATACATGTTTAGAGAGAAATACATAATGAGGCATAATCTCTGGGAACTCTGAGATTAATTAACCAATACTCAGATTCAAATGATTTTTGTGTCTTGTGATTCAGAACTGGTGTTGGTGCCCTGCCCAGATTCCTTTACCAGCCAGCACACCAGGCAGTTTCCCCGAGCTGCTGGGAAGTTGGCTAATCCAACAAACAGCTACCCCCTTCTCTGGAGAATTGCCCTTGGCCAGGAGGGAGCCACCTTGACAAGGAGACTACGTGCACACGTACACATTCATGTGGCCTCCACAACCAGTGGCCAATAGCTGACTGTCTCGGAGGCACAAAAGACCAGCCCTCCTAACCTTAAGGCAACACTAACCCTGTGGTGCAATTTGTTGCTCCAGAGCTCCCCATGGGATAAAGCCAAAGCCAAATTCTTGCTTAGCCCCCCTTCCCTGTCCTGTGTGGTTTCTCCTTGAAAACACTCCGTAAATCACTTGAACACAACTCATCTCAGGCTCTGCTTCCAAGGAAGCTGACCTAAGACAAGAACTATCCCATGGAAAGCTGTATCTGTGATGATGGAAGAAATCATGAGAGCAAAATAGCCCTTCGGGTCTATGAGTGTGGTTTTCCCAACATGCTCGAGTGGCTAAACAAAGCGACTCTTCTCCATAGGCGGTAGGTCCCAGACTAAACAGCAGCAGTGATATTGCACTGTGGGACCATGGACCTGTGTGATGATATAAAATATATCCTTGAAATGGCACTATGCCTGCGTTTTCTGAGAAATGCATTTAGTTTCAAAATAGTACATCCGTGCTGGCATTAGACCTAGTGCTCCCAGGGGTAATGAAGAATGACCTGGAACCGGAGCACTTGAGGCCTTTCACATTTCTGCATCTTCTGGAGGAGCCAGGACTTTTTGGCTTGTGCCAAAGGAGAGTGTTGGGGAAAGGAGAAGGCTCTGCAGGGGATAGTTCTGGAAATCTCCTAAGAATGGGTGGCTGATTAAATCGGGTTCTGCCTGCCGAAGTTCCAGCTCGTTCTCCAGAAGTCGTCATGGCCAGTAAGAAGAAGCTGGAAGGGTAGGGACTGGTCAGGCCTGGGCTTGAATGCTCCTCCTACTTACTAAATCAGTTTCCTCATCTACAGAATGGGGAACCTAATATTCACTCCCTCAAGTTTCTGGGAGGTGGGGGAGGTAGAAATAGTGTCAGGTTAGCACCTGGCATACATTAGCCAGTGAATACAAGGCAGCTACTTTTCTGCACTCAAGTAGTAGCATCTACCAATCAGCCTAGCTTCTCTCACTAATTAGGGTGATATTTTGGCCTTATTTATTTATTTATTTATTTACTTATTTATTCAACTTGTTTCAAACAAGTCGGGAAAAGGAGGCTGTTTATTTAGAGCTCTACTGGCCCCCCCAAGAGCTATTTTAATTTAATTTTAATTTTTTTTATTAATCCTCGGATTATTATGATCCTCACATAATGTAAGGCCATCCTGTATGCTTGAGCAAACTGTACAGTGTTCAGATGTGCCCCACTGTGGGTAAGCGGGGCTAAAATCTAGCCTTCTTCCTCTCCCCAAGCCATCAACCCCACAGGTAGTGTCCACCAGGAGGTGATACTTTACTAGTTCTCATAGAAACTGGGCTAGAAGCAGCCCTGACATTGTATAAGCCCTTTGTTCAAGGTTAGATCCCCAGAGGGGACCACGAGGACCCCCCCTGAAGAGAAGACCTGAGCATCATGCTCTCTAGACCCACTTTCTCCCACCTATATGCCTAACCCTCACAAATAAAAACCTGACAAAGATATCTTAGGCCATAGTAATTATCTGCCAGGGGTCGCCTCAAAATATGGTGCCTAGCTCAGATGTCCCCATATCATAATATGGTAGGGTCTGAAAAATTACCAACACCATCACCTGGGGCACTTGGTGAAAAATGCAATATCCTGAGCCATACACCTGACCTTCTAGATTCTACAATCTCTAGAGATTAAATTAGGGAACAGCTGTTGAGATATGATTAATTTCTTCCTCACAGGCTTGCTGACTATAAAGAAGGCTTCCGTGGTCAAGGATTCCCTTCATTAACAAAGTCTACAGAAGAGTCATGGTGAAGAGTTGAATGTTCCCTAAAAAGGCTCTTCCTCTGAGAAGAAGCCCAAAGATAAAAAAAAAAGCCATAGGCTTCCCTTTCCTTGATAACCTCCTTCCACTCCATATCCAATTCCCCCAACACATACATAATATTATCTCTCTTAGGGCTCTTCCTTCTCTCTCCCTTTCTTGTTTCTGGTTGCTGGTATATAGAACATATCCCCCAGCAAGCAGAGGCAACTTGGTGATGGCTATCCTTAAAATTCTTGTTTACTTTTTAGAATCACATCTAGCATTTTCTATTGCTCTTCCTAGAGTCCTGGGTTACCCAAGACCTTCCAAGCAACCTAACTGTGTCCTTAGTGGCAATCCTAACAGTCAGGGACTGTCCATATGATGAGTTGTTAAGTTAATGATACCTTCAATACAGCACAGGTTTCACATAATGGTAGTTAATATATGAGCACATCACTTTCAACATAAGGTTTGCCCATTGGAGAACCAAACTGACCTGTTCTATAACCAACAACTATACTACAAGGTACACATCTAGAATTGTGTCAAGTTTACCTTGCCCAGTTCCTACAATGATAAGAGAACATTAAGGAAGAACTAATTCATTAAAAGATAGGGTCTAAAAAACATTCAACACCTATGCTAGGAGCTAAAGCTAGAGATAAATCAAATGTGTCACTATCTTCATGAAATTCAGCCTAGTAGAAGAATGCCTATGGAAGCATTCTGTGGCAGACAGACTATACCACTTAAGGGATTATCATTATTAACAAAAGAGTCTTGTGCTGTAACTTAGATGCTGAGAAGAAAAGTAGTATTTACTGACCACCATTGAATTTTCACAAAGATCCTACTGCTTGGTTGCTGGGTCAGTTATGATGCCTCCTGGTGCAAGACATAGGAAACCCAGCTAAAACTGATGTAAACAAGAAGAAAACTGTATTATCTCAACCCACAAGTCAAGATGTAAAGATTACTGGGGTTGATTAACTCAGTAGCTCAGTCATAACTGCAAGAACCCAAGTTCTTTCTGTCCCTCTGCTCTCTCATTGTATTAGGGTTTTTCAGAAAAACAGAACCAATAGGATATATATACAGTTACACACATACATATACACTTATGCACATATACAACACATACCTATGTACACACATATATTTAAAGAGATTTATTACAACAAATTGGGTATAGAGGCTGACTAGTCCCAAGATCTGGAGGGTAAGTTGGTAAGCTGGAGACCCAAGAGAGCTGATGGTGTAGTTTCAGTCTGAAGGCTGGCAGGCTCAAGACCTGTTCAGTTCAGTTAGTGTCCAAAGGCAGAAACAAAACAATGCCGCAGCTTGAAGGCAGGAAGGCAGGAGGAATTTCCCCATTTCAGGGGAGGGCTGGCCTTTTTATTCTATTTAGGCCTTCAACTGATTGGATGAGGCCCACCCACATTAGGGAGAGCAATCTGCTTTACACGGTCTACTGATTTAATTGTTAAACACATCCAAAAATCCTCACAGAAACACTCAGAATAATGTTTAACCAAATACCTAAACACACTGTGGCCCAATCAAGTTAACACGTTAAATTTAATCATATATTCATCTTCAGCATTTGACCCAAATCCTTGTTGGTATGACAGCAACACTTCCAGTTATCACATCCTCACACAACATCCAAAAGCTGGGTACTTTCAGAAAGCTCCTCTTCTTAAGAAAGCACTTGATACCCTGATACATTGTTGTTAGGAAGGAAGAAAGGTTTGAATTGCGCTGGGGGAAGCTACTGGCTCAACATCCAACAATGTCTTCCATAATTTCTATTATCCTGTTTTAAAGATATGAACACTGAGACTCAGAAAGATTGACTTGGTCAGCATCACACACCTAGTAAACTGTCAAGCACAAAGTTCAATCAGATCTTTCTGGCTCTAATTTGCTTGCTCTATTTGCAGGTCTATTTGTAAATATTCCTAACTCCACCTGTACCGTAACCTTGGGTGAGTGCCTTATTCCCTCCAAATCTTCATTTCTATCACTGAGAAATAGACATAACAACAGTCCTTACCTTTTAGAGTATCATTTAACTTAGTGTATGTAAACTTTCATTATTACAGATATTCCTTGACTTATGATGGGGTTATATGCTGATAAACCCATCATAAGTTGAAAATATCATTAAGTCAAAAATGCATTTAATCTACTAAACATCATGGCTTAGCCTCGCCTATCTTCAAGGTGCTCAGAATACTTATATTAGCCTACAGTTGGGCAAAATCATCTAACACAAATCCTATTCCTATTTTATAATAAATGCTGAATTATCTCACATAATTGATTGAATACCGTACTGAAAGTGAAAAACAGAATGCTTGTATGGGTACAGAATGGTTGTAAGTATATGCATTGTTTACCGTTGTAAGCTGTGACTTGCTGCCACTGCCCAACATCATGAGAGAGGATCATCCCCCCATATTGCTAGCCTGAAGAAAGATCAAAACTCAAAGTTCAAAGTATGGTTTTTCCTGAATGTGTATTGCTTTTGCACATTGTAAAATCATACTTATAAGTTGAACCATTGTTAAGTTACAGACTGTATTTGCTGCCCCACCACAGTATAAAGAGCCACATATTGTACAACTGTAGGGGGCACTATTCACCTAGAATATACTATGAATTATTCCCCCTGGAGTTTCACCATAGCTTACTAAGAGGTACAGAAAACTTACCTCTAGAATGAGAAATGGAGAATTCTTGGGTTTAAGTAGTACAGCACTGGCAAGTTTTAACTCAATGCCACAACAAACAGGTGAAGGAAAGCTAACAGAATTTTCCAAGCCCAATGGTAAGGACCTTCATATATGTATCTCATTAATTCTCACAAAAGCCCTACAATGATAAAGAAATTTTGTTATGCTTTTGTTTTTCCTGTAGAGAGTTACCATGGTAGGTTTTAATTCTAAGAAAGAAACAATTTCCTGATTTCCTTGCTGGAAGATACTGTCAGTCATTCAACACTCTTTCCTGGAGCTCACTGTGTTTCTGTGTTCTACCTGCCAAGGCTTCAGCATGATGCAATAAGTACTGATCTGTGAAGTCAGAGGCCTGGGTTCTCTAGGCTTACTCTGTGTCTAGCTAACAGTATCAAAGTGGACAGTCAATTAACATTTCCTTTTCCCTCTGTATCCACAATTATCTGCAAATGAGGTGATGAGGTAAGATTCTTTGGTTTCTAAGAATTTCTTTTTTCCTTTTTTTTAGGGAGAGAGAGTGCACACACTCTGCACGCTAGAGTTGGGGGGAGGGTGGAGAGGGTCAGAGGCAGAGGGAGAGAGAGAATTTTTTTTTTTAAAGATTTATTATGAGAGAGAGAGAGAGAGAGTACATGAGTGGGGGAGGGTCAGAGGGAGAAGCAGACTCCCCGCCGAGCAGGGAGCCTGATGCGGGACTCGATCCCGGGACTCCGGGATCATGACCTGAGCCGAAGGCAGTCGCTTAACCAACTGAGCCACCCAGGCGCCCGGAGAGAGAGAATCTTAAGCAGGCTCCATGTCCAGTGCAGAGCCCATCGCGGGGCTCAATCTCACAACCCTGAGATCATGACCTGAGCTGAAATCAAGAATCAGATGTTTAACTGGCTGAGCCACCCAGGTACCCCTCTAAGAGTGGTTTCTAAGGGCCCAGTTATACTGAGCAATCTATCACCCAGCTCTCTGTATATGCAGACTGAACCCTCAGGTCTGATTAATAGGTCTGCTGCTATTTACCCAAATAATCCTGGTTTGCTAAGGAGGTGGAAGGAAGACAGTGTGATGTGGTGGGAAGAGTCCTAAAGGCAGGGTAAAGGATATCTAGTGCTAACTCTGTCTTGGAGAAGTCATCTGCACCCACTGGGTCTCAGCTTCTTTTTCTGTTAAGTAGGGTTCTGCAAAAGATGATCTGGAAGGTTTCTTCCAGGTCTATGGTAGTCTAACAGATGCTATCAGATGCTACTGTTCCTTTGCATGTGTCTGAAAATTGTTTTCTTAAAATGTGTCCCTTGTTCTTGTTTTAGAACAGAAATGAAACCCCAGGTATAGATTCTTTTTTTTTTTTTAAGATTTTATTTATTTATTTGATAGAGAGACAGGAGAGAGGGACTACAAGCAGGGGGAGTGGGAGAGGGAGAAGCAGGCTCCCTGCAGAGCAGGGAGCCCAATGCGGGGCTCGATCCCAGGACCCTGGGATCATGACCTGAGCCGAAGGCAGACGCTTAATGACTGAGCCACCCAAGCGCCCCTCAGGTATAGATTCTTGAAGGCAAAAGAGATAATGGGAAAAAACAAAGGTAGGAAGGCCTAAAATCTAGTCAAATTCTTGAAACTAAAAAATTGAGGGCTACTCAGATGTCCATCAACAGACGAATGGATAAATCAGATCTGGTAATATATATATAAAACGGAACATGACTCAGCCATCAAAAAAAATCTTGCCATTTGCAATGATGTGGATGGAACTAGAGGGTATTATGCTAAGCGAAATAAGTCAATCAGAGAAAGACAATTATCATATGCTCTCACTCATATGTGGAGTTTAATAAACAAAACAGAGGATCATAGGGGAAGAGAGGAAAAAATAAAACAAGATGAAATCAGAGAGGGAGACAAACCATAAGAGACTCTTAATCATAGGAAACAAACTGAGGGTTGCTGGAGGAGAGGGGGGTGGGGGATGGGGAAACTGGGTGATGGACATTAAGGAGGGCACGTGATATAATGAACACTGGGTATAAGACTGATGAAGCACTGACTTCCACCTCTGAAACTAATAATATATTATATGTTAATTGAATTTAAATTTTTAAAAAATTAGAAAAAACATTTTAAGAAGTTGAGGGCTGCTGAAGGAAAATCAGATAAAATGTAAATTCCCAGGATGTGATAAATGAGTGATCTTTAATGTCTGCCCTGTTTGGGGGAGCAATTTCTGTTACCTTAGCAATACACACTGTAAGAACTCAAGAAATGGTTGCTGACTGATTAACTTTACTATAATGATTAGGCAGGGAACTAGCTGATTATCAAAGGTTCCTTGTAGTTCTAGTATCCTATGATACATTTTGCTGAATTACAACACAGGTCTGCCTGACCCCACAGCCTGAGCTCTTGACCATTAGGCATCCTACTTTAGACAGCTTCATTGCCTCCACAAGTTGGAATTCAGCGTTCTCAGTGACTGTTTCCTCACCTTAAAATGGGGAGAATAATAGTAGGTACTGTATAGGTTTGTTTACTTAACAAATATTTACTGAGTACCTGCTGGGCACCAGGGACATCTTAGTGAATCAGACAGTTAAGACCCTGTGCTTGTGGAGATTCTTTCTAGATAGGAGAGAGAGAAAATTAACAAATAAGCAAGTGAATAATCAAGACAGTGACAGACATTAGTAAGTGCTGTGAAGGAAATAAAACAGGGCTAAGGAGTGACTGCAGGGAAGGATGAAACAGGAGTGTTGGAGAAGACGTCTCAGAGAAAAAGACATTTGTTAGGAAGGAGCAGCCTTGGGAAGATGGGGGAGAATATGATAATGGCATTCTACGCAGAGGAAAGACTACAGACCCTACAGCAAGAAGTAGCTGGGCATGTTTTAGGAATAGAGGGAAGGTCAATGTAGCTGGAGTGTGGTGAGCAAGGCAGGGGTGTGACTGAAGGTGAGGGAAGATGGCCAGATCTTACAGGACTTTGTAGGCCAGATAAATTTTCTTCCAATGGCAATGGGAGACCACTGACGAGTTTCCAGCAGTTTCAGAGAGGAGCATGATCTGTGGAAGCTGGTTTGAAAGCATCCCTGTTTGCCTCGTAGAGAAGAGATTGTCAATGAGCAGTGGTGGAGAGAGGCCTGTCAGAAGACAGCTGTCCACGTGAGAGCTGATGGGGACTGGACAGTTTGTGGTGGTGGAGATAGAGAGTAGAGAGAAATAATTCAAATTTAGGATATCTTCTGGAAGGCATGTGGATTAAATGAGGTAATTTATGCAAACACCTCACAAAGTGCCTGACAGAAGGGGCTCAATTAAGTGCTTGCTGTAAATAATACAGCCTGGTGTAGCAGGCCAGTCACAATTCCATAAGTCAAAGAGAAATCTGCCAAATACTTAGATCACAGAGCAGGTTAGCAAACTGGTTCAAGCACTCATTATTTATGTGCCACTTGGGAAAGTCACATTTGGGGCCTCAGTTTCCCCAATTATAAAATGAGAAGTGGGCCAAATGAACTCTAAGGCAGCTTCCAGAGCTAACATCCTCCAAACCTTTTTGATGGCATATATCATCAGGGTTTGCTCGGAGAAGCAGAGTCACTGTGAGTGAGATAGAACAAGGAATTTATAGCAAGGAGTAGACCTTACAAAACTGTGGAAACCAGTGAAGTACTCTATGCAACGCATTGCCTCTGTGCCTGGTGTTGGGCCCAAAGTCATGATAGATCAACCAACCCTGCAATCAAGAAGAAAAGTGAGGCACAAAGTTTGGGAAGTCAAGGGCAAACTGGAACACACAGGGATAAACTGGATGCCAAGTCTGTCTAACCATCTCTAATCTTGATGCAGGTGATCTGCAGAAGCTAGAGCCCTTAACCATGGAGCTACTCATGCACCTAGCCCAAGACTCAGAGCAGATGAAGGAGGAGCTCATGCAGGTCCGAGTGCTGCCCCTGCCAATAAGTGAGCCAGCCGACTCAATGTCATGAACTGCCACTGTGCCTGGCACCCAGCTGTGACTTTCAGAGTAGAAAACACAGCTTTGCTTCCACCTCTCCAGTCTTGTGCCAATTTCTCTTGTGGCCAATCCCAATCTGGAGCCATGCAGGGAAGGGAATTCTAGCAAATGAGTTCCACTGCAGCTAAATTGACAATAAAGAGCTACCAGAATCCACTCCTTGTCAACTTGGCATTCATACACACCTTTGAAAACCATACGTAACTGTTAAATAAAGACAATAGCAAAATCATGCTTCCACTTAACATGACCCAATGGTCCCTCATGCAACTGAAAACATTCTATCCTTCTCTCAAAGGGAGGATATAGGTCCCTTTATGCACCTTTGGGTGATATTCATTCTTTTTCTAGCTGAGTCACCCTCTCCTTTGGAGGTAAGGGCTTTGGGAGGTGATTAGGTCATGAGAGCAGAGCCCTTATAAAAGAGACCCCAGGGAGTCCCCTCATCCCTTCTGCCCTGGAAGATACAACAAAGAGACAGCCATCTAGGAACCAGGAAATGGGCTCTTATTAACACTGAATCTGCTGGTGCCTTGATCTTGGAGCTCTTAGTATTCAGAACCATGAGAAATAAATGTCTATTTATAAGCCAGCCAGTGTATGGTATTGTTATAGCAGCCCAAATGGACTAAGATAGGCATAAAACAATAATCATCATGGATTTTGTGTGTCAGGAATTTGGAAAAAGCACAGCAAGTGTGGTTCTTCTATGCCCCACAATGTCTGGGTTGAGATGACTCAAACAGCTGGGGGTAGGAACCCCTGGGACCAGAGAATCTACTTCCAAGATTCATTCATACTTCTGGTGCTCAGCCTGGGGTGGCTGAAGGAGAGGCTCATCTGGCACTATCAACTGGAAAACCTGCACGGTGGTCTCAAGGTAGCTGGACTACTTACAGGGCTGCTCAGAGCTCCAAAGCAAATTTCCCAGCAAATAATCTGCATGGCCTTTTATGACATAGCTTTGGAAGTCACCTTGTGTCACTTACACTATTTTATTGGTTGAAGAAGTCACAAGCCCTCCCAAATTCAAGGGGAGGAAATATAAACTCTGCCCTTCAATGGGAGGAATGTCAAAGAACTTGAGGCTATGTTTTAAAACCACCACCTGACACCTTGTCTAGTCTAGTTCATGTTTATCCACAGCAGGTGGCTAGTTCACAATTTTTCATTATTTAGCATTATTTTTATTACTGTTCATTTCTCACCTGTATCAACTGATGAGAATGCTGCCTGTGAGAGATATTATTACAGGTGCTTTCCCTTCCATGCTTCCCTGGGTTTCTTGGAAAGTCACACACCCCTCATAGCTAGACTCACATTTCAATTGTTCTACAAACTTACTACTTACAGGTGATCTCCTGACTTATTATAACTCTTTGGCTGGATACTCCTGCACATATGGCCTATATGATTCCTAATGCCTTCAGGTGACAATATTGAGATCAGTGGTCAATTAGCTAGTGAACAGTGATAAGAAAATATCTTGGGCTGATTCATGAAGTTTAGAAACAGGCTTCTGAATCAAACAACAATTCTAGCCAAGACATCTTTCTACCTTAAAATATTTAAGAATCTGCAGAGAAAAACAGAAAAGGAAGATAAGTGATTGGCAAACCCTCCGAACTGTGAAGAAAGCAGAAAGCTATCTTGTAGGCGTGGCCTGTAGAGTAGACTTGACCATCATTCCAGAACCAGTTGGGTTGCATTTTGATGGCCTCCTATACCCAGAACATAATGAAGGCTCTCTTTTTCTGAAGAATTAGAGCACTTATAGCCTGAACTATTCATTTATTCATTCAACAAGCATCTATCGAGTGCTGCGGACAGGCCAGGTAGTGTCTCCTTTGCTGTTCAGGAACACAATGGTGAGGAAGACACAGCCTCTGACCTTGAAGGACTGTGAAAGGGATCAAAACCAAGCCAAACCAAAACCAATTCCGAAACAAAACCCCAAATTTATAATGAGTAAGGGAGCTCAAGAAAAAGCACTTAATTATAAATAAGTTTCACTGTGGGTCTCGTGTCTTAGTCTCCTCTAATGTGACTGTAAGCTCGTTGGAGGCAGGAACCACATTCTAATGCCTCCATACCTCCCAGGACACTGCTCAGTGACATGTCCACAAGAACCTATCACTAAACATTTGCTACTGGTTTGACTGACAGATACTGAAATGAAATGAAGTTGCAGAGGTACAAAGTGTGTTAGCAGTATTTTTTGCCTCCTGCACAGGTTCACAGTTGCCCATCTGTATATTAAACCATCACCACCAACAAATAAGAATGTCCTCTGTACCATCTTATGCTTGGTAGGAGGAACAACAGGGCTTTGATTCCTTGACATTCAAGAGCTCTCTGGTGACTTGATTCTTCCCCAGCTAGTGGTGCAAGTGATAAGAAGGCAGGGGTTTGGCTCTGCCACTTAAGAGCCGTTACTGAACCTCTTGGGGCCTGTGATTCCTCAACTTTGAGTGAGATTAGGGTTCCCTCCTGCTTTACTCAGGACACATGTTTTTGTTTCATAACTAGTTTGGGTGCAAAGGGAGATGTAGCACCCAGACCATCTATAAACTGATGGGATGTGACCTGACTTCTCCCCATGCTTCTCTTATTCCACGATAAATTCCCAGTCCTTATGAGGTTTTGGTCCCAGTGAATTTTCCCCTCAAAAACCAAACAGGATAATAATGAACCATTTTCTTGCATTTTCTATCAAGACCGCTCTTTGTGAGTTCTAAATGTTCTGTCCATATTCAAAGAAGCTGGTTTCTTCATGAGTGGTTGGAATAAGACTTCTCTTGGAAGCTACTGAATATGGATTAGTTGGATTGTTTCGCAGGAAATAAAAAGCAGGCTCTGGGGTGACTACTTCAGTACTTAATTGGGTTAGCAAAGAACTGCAAATGAGAGGTTTTCCTTAGGAGGGAAAGGATGTTTACGGCCCCCCACCCCCTTAGGTGGTGGATTTTTAACCTAAACCCTAGTGTTCAAATGCAGCTTTTAATTTAGAAACCATTACAAGAATCTATTAGAGCAGAAAATGTCAGGTTGAAAAATTAACACATCACAGGAGTTAATTAGAACCCAGCCTCTCATTAGATGCAAATAGAGAGCCCTCCAACTGGCCTGCTGAAGTCACATTTGTTGTAGCTCCAAAGTGGCTGCCTCCTTCCTACTCAGAGAGTGGACAGAGGAAACTGTCCAGGCCCTCAGGCCAGAGCCACTAGGGGCCCACAGCCTGCCCTTCAGGTTAATGGAAGGTTCCATTCCCCTGTCCCCATCTTCTGCTCCTCTCCTAAATGCTCTGCCTATCACAGGGTGGAGAGCCCTTGGTGTGGAACTCCCTCAGGGAAGTGTTTTCTGCAACAAAGACAAAATGCCAGGCCTGTCACTGGGAGCAGACTGGCGACTGTGTAAACCGCTCTGTGAGAGGAGAGGCTGAGGGGCTCCGGGCCATTCAGAGTGAGCTCTAAGTTGTGGTCTTTGTTTTCTTTCCACATGCAGACTGAAATGTGATTCCCCTGGCTTTCTTTTCTGGAAAATACCTGCGATGAGTTCCATGCCGGGGAAAGAAAAGCTGTTGACAGGAAAAGCTTCTGCCCAGGGAAGGGGCTTCTTCCAGCGTTCTCCAAGGAGACAGTGCTTCGAGCAAGCCAGGGCAGGGACGCCGGGGCTAGGAAGAAAAAGTCCTGATGGCAAAAGGGGCATCTCTAACCAGGGATTAGGCAAAGCGCACACAGTTTCCTCTGTGAGAACAGTACCATGCCCATAAACAGGCACACGTCTGAGTCCCCTGTCACTTACTGTGTGATCTTGAACAAATTGCTTAACCCCTCAAAACATCAGTTTTCTCAAGCTGCTGAGTGAAATAAATGAGATAATACACGGAAAGCATGTAACCCAGTATCCGGCCCAGAGTAAGGGTTCTATGGAAGTTCTTGGTTGTTGGTCTGATAATAGTATCGCTTCCCTCAACACTGATGGTGTAGCCTCTTTGTGCCAGGCCCTGTGCTGCTCCTTGACCTCGCGGAGTTCATCCTTCAATAAACCATGCACATGTACCATCAGTACATGGCAAGCCTTCCTCCCCTTCCTGCAAATGCGTCAGGAGAAGTGCCCATTGCACACTAACTCTGCTTTGTTGAGTAGCTCAGAATCCTGCAGGCCATCTGCCTCTGCACAGCTCTGTAACCTCAGCTACCTCCACCCTCAATTTACCTACAATTCTCTCTCTATGTACTTACCACATTGAGTTAGAGTTGTCTGTTCCTTCTTTGTCTCCTCCTGTGAGTTCCTAGAGGGTGGGGATCATCTATTCATTGGATTCATTCATCTCATCATTTATTCATCTCTGTGGGCCTATGGTCTCCTGCATTACTCAGCACAGTCAAACGGAAGAGTCAACCCTACTCCTGAGTATGTAGACTTCCAGCTGGGAATATTTCTAGGGAAAAAACCCTGCCTCCCATCTTTGAGGGGCCCCCTTGGGCCCTGGTTTGGTTGGTCTTCCATTTTCTTTTCTTTTTTTTTTAGGAAAGGTCTTCCATTTTCTAACTATTACTTCAGTTCTAGCCTCAGTTTCGTCACCTCTTTAAGAAGCTAATAGAGTCTCCTTTTCTGGGAGGTTGTGATGATGGCGGGAGACAAAGCAGCTTTTATGTGCCCAACACAGTTCTAGGTACAGAGCCAAAAACCAAAACAAGTTGATTCCATTCTTGCCCTCAGCCAAGTCTAGTTGCCAGTATATGAAAACTAAAGCTATAAGGCAAAATAGGAGCACCACAGGAGTGGAACAGATATCCTTCCAACTTGTATCCAGCCTCTGCCATCTGCCAGACTTGGCTGAAACAGAGGACACAAACATGCATACAAACCTGGTCCCTGTCACCAAGGCCCAGAAAACCTTGGCAAGTGTTGGTCAAAAAGATCTCAAGAAGAGAGTAGAAAGCTCTTTATCCAGATCTTCAGACCTGGGCTGCAAGGAGATGTCTTTGGGACCTGGCTGGAAAGTAGGAGGTCACCTCACAACGACAAAAACCAAGTTATTTGGCACTTACTTTGTATGTGCCAGACACTGTGCTAAATGATTTAGGGGCATTCTCTCATTTAACTCTTAGAACAACTGTGTGGGGTAGACATGAATTTCCTTATTTTACAGATGGCCCATTTGAAGCTCAGAGAGGCACAGAAGCTTCACCACAGTCAAGCAGTAAGTAAATGGCTTAGAAATCCACCTGCTGAGTGTTTCACTGGTCTGACTGGAAAGGGAAAGGGTGAACTAGCACAAACCTCCACCCGAGGGGTGGGCCGTGGGGAGGGGGAGGGCTGGGAAGGGGGGGCGGGGGCGGGGAACTGGATCAAAACAGCGGTCGCGTGATCCCGAGACCTCCAGGGCCCTTCGCAGCAGCTGAATAAGTTAAGAAATGCAGGCTGCAGGGGAGGGATGCCCGGGAGGCTGGGGGAGGGTACCCTCGGTGGTTGTGCGCCTTCATCGCCTCCTGTGCACAGGTCAAGCCTCTCCCCTCCCGCCCTCTCACCCTCCCAACCTTATTTAGAAACCGTGTCCTCGACACAGGAAGGGCGGCGGGCCGAGAAGCACGGAGCGTCCCGGTCTCATTTCCTTTTGAATCCCCCTGTGGAATTTCATTTCATACGGTGAGGAAATCGGAGCGCGAGACCGTCGGCTGGTCGGCTGCTCCGGGGCGCCTCCCCCACTAGCGGCTGGAGACAGGCAGCTCCCGGGCGCAGGTCGGGCCGAGTCTGGGGGCGGGGAGACGCGGCCCGGCTCCAACCCAAGCAAGTTAGCAGTGAAAATAGCTGCGAGCTTGCGTTGTACCAGGCACCGGGCTAAGCGTTTCACGCATTACGTCTAATCCTCCCAAGTCTCTTTACGGATGAGGAAACTGACGCCGAGAGGTTGAGCAATTTGCTCAAGGTCACACAGCCAGGATTTAAAGCCACAGTCTTTGCAAATCTAAAGCCCGTGTTCTTTGTGTACGTTTCTCTGCCTGATAGGTAGGTAGCCACGGGCCGAGGTGACAGCCGGAAGAGTGGAATGAAAGGGAGTCGACTGATCTGGGAGCATTTCTCACCTGGAAGAGGAGGGGGCAGGCTGGTCCGGCGGGAGCAACTCGGCTCCATCCCCGCCTGGCTCCCGAGCGCCGCGAACCGGGTGGGAGGAAAGTGAGAGCCGGGAAGCCGGGCGGGGCGCTCCGGGAGGGAGAGAGGGAGGGGCGGGGCAGGGGGGCTGGCGGGCGGGGGCCTGACCCTTCCAGCGGCAGAGCGGCCCCGCCCCTCGCTGCCCACGGCGCCCGGCCATTGGAGAGGCGCGCTGTCCGTCCCGCCCTGCCACCGCCCAGCGAACCTCTAGCGCCGCGGAGGGCTCGGGCGGGGAGAGCGGCGCGGCGCTGGGTGCTGGCGGGTTTTGCCGAGAGGCAGAGCGGACGGGGCAGGCGCCGGTTTGGGGGCTCGCCGCCTGTAGCCATGCCCCTCGCAGCCTGTCCTTCGGCCCCGGCCACGGGCGTCTAATATCCCACACAGTCGCGCGCAGCTGCCAGAGACCCGGCCGCTGCCCCTTCTTCGCCCTTGGCGCCTTATCACACTCCCTTCCCGGGAGTTGGGAGCAGCGCGGGCAGCCGGCGCCCCGGTGCAAACTGGGGGTGTCTTCTGGACGCCCCCCCGCCGCCGCTGCCCCCGGCTCTGGCCATGGCCTGGCGGGGCGCAGTGCCGAGCGTCCTGGGGGCGCCCGGGGGCGTCGATCTCAGTCTGCGGCTGCTGCTGCCGTTGCTGCTGCTCCTGGAGCCAGCGCGGGGCTTCGGGGACGAGGAGGAGCGGCGCTGCGACCCCATCCGCATCTCCATGTGCCAGAACCTGGGCTACAACGTGACCAAGATGCCCAACCTGGTGGGGCACGAGCTGCAGACAGACGCCGAGCTGCAGCTGACAACTTTCACGCCGCTCATCCAGTACGGCTGCTCCAGCCAGCTGCAGGTGGGCGCCCCCACCCCCACCCCTCGCGGGACGGGACCCCTTGGGCGGGGACGGCCCAGACTAACTCCATGAAGCCCTTGCCAAGCCAAGCCCCCTGCCCCCTTCCAAGGCTGAAGGGTAAAACTATCCTGGGAAAGTGATTTCCACCCCCACCCCCACTTTTCTGTCCTTTCTCAGGGACTGGAAGCCAAAACGTTGTGTAAGTCGTCTGGCCTGCGAAAGAACCCACTCTTACACCCCGCCCTTCCGTTTTTCTCCCCTGCTCACCCTTGTCTGGCCAAGCCCCTAACCCCAGTGGAGCTGAGGGTTATCTTTGCCAAGGATTCTGGCCGCCGCTGCTCGGTGGGCGAGTCCGCAGCAGGGCAGCCAGCTGCAACTAAGACTTGGAAGGAGAGATAAGGAGCCGGGAACTTCTCCTCCCTCTCCGACCTCCTTTCTCCCCCATATTTTGGGGGTGTGTTATTAAATGAAACCCCACTGCTTGCTTCGTTTTCTGCGGAGTGGCCCCTCCTCGCGTCGTCCTGCATGACTTTAGAGGTCATGCAGGAAGGAATGGTTGGGTGGCTTGAGATCATTTTGGATCCTCAGGGTTGAGGGCAGATTTAGGATTTGGTGGGGAGAAAACACAGCTTGGGGAAAAGGTGATAGTGTGTGGTCAAGCTCCAGGAAGGTATTTTGTATATTAGAAGATTTTTTTTTCAGTCGTTAAAAATTTTAAAGCTTCTGTAATGATAGAGAAAATGCTCAGCCTACAATAGGTGAAGAAATAATTTGCATATACAGGGTGATTATAATCTTACAAAACCAACAACCAATTCACTTTTTAAAAAAGGAACTGAAAGAGATTTTTAAAAAAGGGTTAGCCCTGGTTGTGTTTTGGTTAGTGAGGCGATGAGTGAGTTTTAGAAATTTAGACAGGAAAGAACTTGGGAAAAAAAATAGAGGGTAGTTGTCCAGGCTGAAAGCTTCAGAAATCCGTGGTTCTGGTTGTAACTTCTGAGAGATAAGAAACAGGCAGGCAGCTTACTTAGTAGGTGCGTGTTTTTACATAGGTCATTTTAAAAGTTGGACTGTGGTTTCAGAAAGATGATTGGGATTAGACCTGTTGCTGCTGAAATGTCCCTTCGGAGTTTTCAGAACTTTAGAACTAGGTTATAAAAGCTTAAGAAATGATCCTCTAGCTCTCAGTTTGGAAACAGCACATATCCTGACATCAGTGGCAATTTTGTTGGAGAAACAGCTTTTGCAGGGATATATATTTTTAATTACATGTATCCTGGGGAAGCAGCCAAGCTGTTTTGAAGGACAGGACTGGATCCCTTTACATGCTGGAAAATAGTTACTTGTAACTCTAGACTTCATAGACAACATCTGTAAGGAGCCAAGCCGACTGTTTATCAATGCTGGAAGAATTGAGGACAGCAACTGGACTCTCCCCTGCTGGTACTGCAGTTCCAGGGACTTCACATTTATATTTTCCTATTGTGCTTCATTATTATTCATTGAGGAAACCTGGCCAAACAAAGCCCTGGTGACCAGAGACCTCAACCTGCATCCCATCCTTGGGTCTACTAGTGTCTCAATTAGGACATTTTCTGTTTCAGTATGGGACTGATTAAAAAAAATTTAGGGGATAAAGTAAAGTAGAGAAAAGAGAGAATATTAATAGGAGAAAAGCTGGACCTACATTTTTTTTAACATTTATTTTTATGGTGATAAAGAAATGAGGACAAAAATAAATCACCCCATCACTGGAATGACTCAGTCATTCAATTAGTCTGTTCGGCTCTTTCAAAGAGGGAGACGCAAAGTCAAGTCTTAAGGTTTATTTTCTTAAGCATTATGCAAAAAAGGGATTATGTAATCCTTTAGGTCCTTTTAATATATTTATTTATTTATGTTCTGCGGGAAAGGATTGCTAGAACCCAAAGAAGCAAAGTGTGCAAGCAACGGATTTTTTAGGCACCCTAGTCTGAGGTCGGAGTAAGTAGTCAGAGTCCCTATAGCTGGTTAAAAGTCGGTATGTACTTTGCCTGGAAGCATTCAACTCCGCTTCATGCAAGCATTTGGTCAGACTTCCAAGTCATTGTTTTCTTTGTTCATTTCATTACTTTTCCAGTTCTTCCTTTGTTCGGTTTATGTGCCAATGTGCACAGAGAAGATCAACATCCCCATCGGCCCATGCGGCGGCATGTGTCTTTCAGTCAAGAGGCGCTGTGAACCCGTCCTGAAGGAATTTGGGTTTGCCTGGCCAGACAGCCTGAACTGCAGCAAATTCCCACCCCAGAATGACCACAACCACATGTGCATGGAAGGGCCAGGTGATGAGGAGGTGCCATTACCTCACAAAACCCCCATGCAGCCTGGGGAAGAGTGCCACTCCGTAGGCACCAACTCGGATCAGTACATATGGGTGAAAAGGAGCCTGAACTGTGTTCTCAAGTGTGGCTATGATGCTGGCTTGTATAGCCGCTCGGCCAAAGAGTTCACGGACATCTGGATGGCCGTGTGGGCCAGTCTGTGCTTCATCTCCACCGCCTTCACGGTGCTCACCTTCCTGATCGATTCCTCCAGATTTTCCTACCCTGAGCGCCCCATCATATTTCTCAGTATGTGCTATAATATTTATAGCATTGCTTATATTGTCAGGCTGACCGTGGGCCGGGAAAGGATATCCTGCGATTTTGAAGAGGCAGCAGAACCTGTTCTCATCCAAGAAGGACTTAAGAACACAGGATGTGCAATCATTTTCTTGCTGATGTACTTTTTTGGAATGGCCAGCTCCATCTGGTGGGTTATTCTGACACTCACTTGGTTTTTGGCAGCGGGACTCAAATGGGGTCATGAGGCCATTGAGATGCACAGCTCTTATTTCCACATTGCCGCCTGGGCCATTCCTGCTGTGAAAACCATTGTCATCTTGATTATGAGACTGGTGGATGCGGATGAACTGACCGGCCTGTGCTACGTCGGGAATCAAAACCTTGATGCCCTCACGGGCTTTGTGGTGGCTCCCCTCTTCACTTACTTGGTGATCGGGACTCTGTTCATCGCGGCCGGTTTAGTGGCCTTGTTCAAAATTCGGTCCAATCTGCAAAAGGATGGGACAAAGACGGACAAGTTGGAAAGGCTGATGGTCAAGATCGGGGTCTTCTCAGTCCTGTACACGGTGCCTGCCACCTGTGTGATTGCCTGTTATTTCTATGAAATCTCCAACTGGGCGCTCTTCCGGTATTCTGCAGATGACTCCAATATGGCAGTGGAAATGTTGAAAATTTTTATGTCTTTGCTGGTGGGCATCACTTCAGGCATGTGGATTTGGTCTGCCAAAACTCTGCACACCTGGCAGAAGTGTTCTAACAGATTGGTGAATTCTGGGAAGGTAAAGAGAGAAAAGCGGGGGAATGGTTGGGTGAAGCCTGGGAAAGGCAACGAAACTGTGGTATAAGGCAAACTGGGCTCCACGCTTTCCAAATTTTGAAGGCATTGGGGCGGGCGGGGGGGAATGCTAGCATTTTGGTGCAAGTGCGACTAAAAGTTTCCTGCAGTGAATCTCAGTTTGAGCAGACTGGCAACACTTAAGTGACCCCTGTAAGCCACCACCACCTGCCCCCCGCCCCCCCCCACTTCCCAGCATCATAAAAGGATTTTGCTGCAGACTTTGGAATGATCCAAAATGGAAAAGCCAGTTAGAGGCTTTCAAAGCTGTGAAAAATCAAAACATTGAACACTTTAGCAGTTCGCAGCTTGGAGCGTGGAGGTCCTGCCTAGATTCCAGGAGGGTCCAGGGCGAAGCTGCTTTTCCCTGCAGAGTGAGATCTGAGCTGTGAGTAGGTAACTCGCAGGGAGAAAGATTAACTTTTTTAACCCTTAAAATCTTAAATACTAACTGGGTCTTTCAGATAGCAAAGCAATCTATAAACACTGGAGACACGGGGTTCAGACAAGTGTTACAAGAGTTTTATAGTTGGGCTGATCTAACATAAACATTTTCTGTGGTGCGCAGTCTGCTGTTTAGAACTTTGTGGATTGCTCTCCCAAGAGGTGGTGTCAGAATCTTTCAGTGCCTTTGTCCTAAGACAGAACTGTTTGGAAAAACAAAAGTACCGTACAAACATACATAAGGTGTCCAGTGGATTTTTCTTCTCTCTCTTCCTCTTAAATTTCAACATCCCTGTTCTGGGCTGCTGCTGTTTTCTTCATTTTACATTAATGACTCAAAATAGGTATTTTTATAGGATTTTTTTTTGCACCGCAGCATGCCTAATGAGGGGGAAAGTAAGGGTGATTTACTTTCTGACAATCATTTAATTCAGAGGAAAATGAGATTTATCAAGTTGACTTACCTTACCGACCCGGAGACCTATTGCATTGAGCAATGGGGACTTAATATATTTTACTTTGTGTGATTGCATCTATGCAGACGCCAGTCTGGAAGAGCTAAAATGTTAAGTTTCTTGGCAACTTTGCGTTCACACAGATTAGCTGTGTAATTTGTGTGTGTCAATTACAATTAAAAGCACATTCTTGCACCATGACATAATAGTATACTCAACTGACTTTAAAACTATGGTCAGCTTGCATTCTCAGAATGATAGTGCCTTTCTTTCTTTAGCATAAGAATGTTATCAGTCTAGTCTACTACCCACAATGAAGACTTTGCTGTTTTGTAGAGAGAACTAAGGACAGCTAATCCAACTACTTGGTGCATAATTGTTTCCTAGTAATTGGCAAAGGCTCCTTATAAGATTTCATTGGAGGCAGTGTGGCCTGGAGTATTTATATGGTGCTTAATGAATCTCCAGAATTCCAGCCAGGAGCTTGATTGGTTAGTAGGGAATAAAGTGTAGACCATATGAAATGAACTGCAAACTCTTAACAGCACAGGTCTTAATTGCCTTTTGCAGGGGTATCCAGAGCTTTTAAAATTTATGCTTTATGTTCCTCACAATGGGGTACCCCCCTAGCAGCCTCTCAAAAAGTTGCAATTCTTTTAAAATTGTAACTGGACTCTCTCATCCTGCCTTAGGCCTTCTAATCACCAGCTCTCTGGGACAAATTGTCGACAATGTCACAGGTTGCTCTCCTTGTAGCTCATACCTATCTTTGCTTCAGCAGCTACTTTGCAATGACTCATTTATTTATTCATGCCCCACCCCACTCCCCTTTTAAAAACAGGTAGGAAAACTCTTTTATCGCCTTTCTTTGTGGAAAAACATTTCCAGGGACTCAAATTCCCGAATAGGTGGTCAGATTCTGGAAATACGCGTGTCCTTTTCTGTCTTTTTTGAGTTTTATGTCCGTGGTTTGACACTTTCCTTTCTTCTTTGTTTTTGGGGGCTCCTGAGCCGTCTGAGGTGAAGATGCATATAAGGTCTGTTGTGTCTTTTGGGAGGGAAAGTCTCGGGGCTTTGAGGACAGATGCTAACTGGGCACGGGTGGTCCCTGGTGTGTGTGTGAGCCGAGCCCGAGTACCTTGGCTGGACTCTGGGTCAGGGTTCCAGGAGCATGAGAAATGATCCCCAGAAGGACCAGTTGAACTCCATCTGAGACTACGTCTCCTCTGAAATACAAAATGTGAACTCCCTGTGCTGCTTGCAGACAGTTCCCAGAGCTGGCCAGGGCCCTGGAGCATGCACCCAGGGGCAGAGCCTGCCCTTACTCACGCTCCACTCAGTGTCTTGGGAGTTGTGCTGAGACTCTGGCCCAGGAAAGGGAAGGACAGTACAGTGGGGCACTGGCCTTGCTGTGCGACTGTAGGGCTTTGTCACAGGCACGGAGTAGGTGCTCAATATTTGTGAATAATGAAATAATAATAAGAGTACTTAGGTGAACCTCTACACCCACGTTCTGGAGCTAGTGCCCCGACAACTCTCTGGGTTTATAGCATGTCCCTTCTGCAAATCTCTGGCCTTCCCAGGGGAAAGTATATTTGATCAGAAGTGGCCATCGGTGCAGCCTGGATTAGTAGCCCTAGCTATCAGGGCTGTGGGCCTTTCCTTTCACATTCCAGACAATGGAGAGTGTTTACGGTTTCAGGAAAAGAGCTTTGTGGCTGAGGTCAGTTACCAGTTACCTTGACACGACTCCATCACCTCTTAAGTTGCTATTTGTTTAAAAAAAAAAAAGTCAATTATTAGCACATTTATTGAGTGTCCACTCTGTGTAAAGCCCTGTGTTAGGCACCTCAGGGGATGTCGAGGAGTACAAAGCTCAGTTCTTCTCAATGACCTGAACTGAGGGTGCTCCTGGGTCTGCTGAATTTTGCTGTTGGTTTTGGGGAAGGAGGACAGGCCTCTGAATGTTCATCCATTTTACTGTCTCCCGTCCCATAAACCGCTTCCTGGGTCTTTCTGCCTTTACTGTCTCTCTCAGCCCTCCCCACGATTCCCTGCTAGTCAGTCACAGGGGTTTTGACAGAAGGCCTCAGCCCTGTTTCATGACCACCTCTGTGGAGATCACCGAGGAAAACTATGAACACTGGCTGAAAGGATGTGAGCTCCCACACTTCATGTGGCTGTGGGGACAGGCCGTGCAGGGCTTGGGGTGTTCCATGTGACTTGCACAGGGGAATTTGAGGGCATCTTGCAAGGGAAAAGGTTAGGGCTGGGGTTTTTCTTGAAAACTAGAATAAGTAGGGATGATTGGAGCTTCCCACAAAATGCCTTGGCCTCTGGAGATTTTATTCAGCGGGGCCTAAGGGAACCCCTGTCCACCCTCTGCTCTGGCAAACCCCTCTTTCTCTTCCTTTGTAAAGGCCACCATTCAGGGCAGAGGAACATGAGGTAGGGTGGAACTGGCCAGAACCATCTGGTTGAGCTACTTGGTTGATTCATATCCTTTTTCCTCCCATTTCCTGATCTCTGAGACGGCTTCTGAGCTGGCAGCTTGCTCCGGGTCCTGAAACCAGAGAAGGGGGTGACACTGTTTATTTCCCTGAGATGCTCCCCGACTTTCCCCTCCCCAGTCACTCCCTCACCTGCACCCTGAAACCCAGAATCAGGGACACTTCTGTGTTGAGGTTCTGAATTGTGACTTTACCAGCACCCTGAGCTCTTGTCTTCTCTGCCCCCCCACCCCCAAGCCTCCCGGTCACTGAATTCAGGGCTTACTGTGTTAGCAACCAAGTCAGGACCCGAGGACACGGAGGAGCTCGACAGCTTCAGCCCTGGCGCGCGCGTAGACTCCGTTTACAGGGATGTCACCAAGCTGGTGCAGTCTGTGGCTTCTGGGGAGGTGGCCCCAGCAGCAGTCCGCGGGGAGAGCCACAGGGCACAGACTTTGGAAGGAGCCCCCCTACGTCCTGAATTTCATTCTGTGATGGGAGAGATTGGAGGGAGTTGCCTTTCCAGCCAATTATGTCCAGTCACTGGACTCTAATGGTTCCTGGTATTCTTTTATTGTATTTGGGTTCAGAGTCCTCCTCTGGGTTTGTATAATGCCTGGCGAAGGACCCAGGTTATCATTTTTCCTCTGGGCCTAGGTCATAGATCTTGGATACTCCTAGAAGAGCATTTTGCTCCTACTGAGGATCAGATACGGGAGCCTTAAATAATGGATTTTGTTTCCCTGTGGCCTGCTCAGGGCTCTCTGCTGCTGCGGCTTGCCATGCGCTGTGCGGTCACGGCACCCTGGCTCTCACCAAGAGGGAAGTGAACCCTGACCCTCCCCAACAGGCTGCTTCCCTTCGGGCGACCCATTTGCCCTGTAGCAGCTTGTTCCTGTTTCTGATTTACCTATTTCCCTTCTTCTTTGCACCAGCGAATTCCCCGTATTTGCCCAGGCAGTTTGGAGAGGGCCTGTTTGGGGTCCTCTGTGAGCCATGTCCTCCGGGCTTTGATGGCCCCTGATCCCCTGCAATATTCAGGATCTGATCACTGTCATCTCAGAAGGGCTTCTGAGAAGAGGGGTGGGAGCAGTTCTGCTCTCCGAAGGCTGGTCCATCTTCTCCCCCAGGATGTGCTCCCCTCCGTGTCCTGCTCATGGGCTCGGGCCCCAACTTGGTTGTGCACTTTGGGAGAGGGAGGCTGCTCTCTCGCTCTCTCTCCAGTGGGGCATCTAGGTGGTTCAGAATTTTTTCCTACCTCACGGGGATGTTGTGAGACTTTCGAAGGTCTGAGGATGAAGGCCCCTTGAGCTCTTTGCAGGAAGGGTGGAATAACTATCAAGTGTGACGTGTGACAAGACAAACTGGGCCTCGGCCTGCTTGTGCAGCAGGCAGGCTGGTGCCCTGTGGCCTGTCCTTGGGCCCCCGCGCTGCCCTGCAGCTCCAGCCACCTTGAGGCCAACCCTGGGGGCTTTCAGATGTTCGACATACAGGTACATACAGGCAAAGCCCTGCTACACGTGCCCTGATGAATTGCTGAACGTCAAAGGAAGTGGACCCTGCTTTTAAGGATGTACAACGTGTGTCTGCATTGATGTCTGTACTGTAAATTTCTAATTTATCACTGTACAAAAAAAAACAACTTTGCTATTTAATTTTTGTATTAAAGGAAAATAAAGTTTTGTTTATTAACTGGTCTGAGATGTGGCGTGTTCCTGGAGGAATATCATAGTTCCCAGGAAGCACACATTCCCAGCAGTGAGAAATCGAGAATTTGGTCTGCAGGGCAGATTGGGAGCCTCTTTCTGAGAGCCTCTTTGTTTCTTTTTTGCTGGTGCTATTTTTCCCCTCTGGGATTTCTCCTGGGTCAGCAAACCCCTGAGGTCCAAGGTCAACAGAATTTATCACTACTGTGGTCATCAGTATCACTCTAATGGTCACATGATGCTTTGGAGGTAACCATAGTTCCCAAGCTGTCATCCATGACACCTCTTTTTGGCATTTCCACTATGGGTGGCCATTTTTAATATTCTTTCCAAGCACCTTTGACTTAATCTGGTGGCTTGAAAAAGTTTTTCCTATCACCACTAGAGCTTCAGGGGTCTTTAAAAGGGGCGAGGGGAATTTTTTTTTTTTTTTTTTAACATTTTCATTAAATTTTTTTTCCTGGCTACCCAGTGGTCATTTTTGTATAATAGACATGGGAGTATGTTGTATCAGTCAACCAGGATGACGACTTCTTTCGTTAATTTTATAAATTGGGTGGTCTATGTCTCCATAACCAGAAGTCATCAGACAAAGCAAATTTAAAGCCATTATCAGGACACTGTCCTGAGAGCAAATAATAAGGACACACAGACACAGATGAAAGGGGAACCACGGCCATTGGAGATGTCTGCTGTGGCCCAGAAGAGAACATCAGCCCTCTTCGTTTGCCTTTAAATTACTTTCCACACCCTGGTTTCACCTGAATACCACCCTGTTTGGTGTAAGGAAAAAGTCCAGGGAAGAAGGATCTGTAATACTATTCTCCTTCACTGCAGATTGCTATTGTACTTGTATCTGAAACCATAAATGAAGGGAGGTATGTAATTTAAATTCTCTTCCCTGGAAGACAGGCTGTGTTTCTCATTTCACAACCTACTCATTAGGTAGTTATGAAGTTAAGGAAAAGTCAACACAATCTGGAATGAATTCATAATTGCACTTGTAGGAACACTTTCCATATGAAAATACTTTTATACTTACATGATTTCATCTTATTCTCATGGCATCTTTAAAGTAAGCAGGGCAGGCATTGTCTTGTTTAAGGAAGAACTGAAACTTGGGGCAAGGGACTCACCCAGGGAGGTAACAGGTTGGACATCCTAGTCTTCTCACGCCCGGCCCATGGATTTTTGTTGTCTTACACACAGTGTGGTGAGTGTGTGCATTCACCCAAAAGACATGTTGAAGTCCTATCCCCTTGTACCTGTGAATATGGACTTATTTGGAAATAGGGTCTTTGCAGACGTAATCGGGTTAAAATGAGCTCACACTACATTTGGGTGGGCGCTCATTCAATGACTGGTGTCCTTATAGTAAGGGGGCAGTTTGGACACAGACACTGAGAGGAGAGATGGCCTTGTGAAGGCAGAGGCAGAGATGAGGGTGATGCAGCTGCCGGCCAGGCCAGAAACCCCAAGAATTTTCAGCCTCCCGAAAGCTAGGAGGGAAGCAAGAACAATTCTTCCTCAGAACCTCCAATGGCAGCCAGCCCTGCCGACACCTTGACTGCAGACCTGTAGCCTCCATACCTGCACGAGAATACATCTCTGGGTCTGAAGCCACCCGGTTTGTGACCATTGGTTATGGCAGCCCTAGGAAACAAAAACCTACTCGATTCCTTGGATTCCTTCAACCACTGCAAACAGTTTGGTGGGAATGGGTAAATGTTTTGGAAGGCAACTCTCTCAATAATGAGACCTGGCCATGAGCTTCTGTTGTTTAAGGATTATGTAGCATAAATCACTGGGATAAGTTTCTTTATCTGCAAACTGGACACCTCTAGAATCAACCCCATGATCCCTGACACTCAACTGACTTAAGCTGGTCTTGGCTGGTCTCCCACCCACCCACCCCCAATGGGAGCTCTGTGTGCAGGGCCAGGACCTTGACTGGAATGTGGCCCAAGGGTTTTTAGCATTTCTGTCCTGAGAACTGATTTTTTCTTTCCCATTTTAGCTTTCACATGCGATCACAATTTTAAAGTTGAGCTCACTCTTGACTAGAGAGGTCAGCCTCGGCTTCCTGTCTTCAGAGGTTCCGTGGACAGAAACAAATCATGCTTGGAGAAGGCTGTCATCCTCTCCTCAGTTTTCCTTCCCAGGGCAGCAGGGTTGGAGGAATGGGACCATCTCGCTAAATGTTGTGAAAATGTTGGACATGAAAAGGTGTATTCCAAAAGGCTTTTGAAATGGGCCTTGGCCCCATCTGAAATTCCTAAAATCACCCTGTCCTCTTTCTCAGTTCATTCTCAGACTAAGAGAATGCATGCATTCACCTGCCCTCACACAAAGGATTCCAACGTCTCACTCCCAGGAGAGAGAATAAAAATTAAAATTTACTACATTTAACCTCAGTGTCCTGATGCTCATTAGCCTCCTGCGTGGTTTCCTCTAAGCGCCTGATTCTGTTTTCACCCAAGGACGTGCCTAATCTCCTGGCGAGCCCACCTTATCAGTGCCTTTCTTTCTGAGAGATGAAGTGATTGGCTATCGAAGTTTTCTAAAATGCCCGAGGGTTGCATCATTTCACATGATAGGAGGCAAATGGGTCGAGTATAAAACCATGAGACGGAATTGATAAATCACATAGAACAATTTGTCCACGCTCTCCCTTGCTTTTTCATAGGTGTTTCCCTTTGCCTAGAATGCCCCTTCCATCTTTCCTCAACCAGGGAAAGTTGTGCTGTTCTTCATCCAAGACTCGAGTCTTGAGTCATCTCTTCTGGGAAGACTTCCTTGACTCTCCTCCTTACACTTCTGGCCTTTCCTTCTTACCATAGTCTAAGCCTCTGGCAGCCTTCACGGCACTGTTTATAATGGTCTCTTCATGTGTCCATCTCGTCACTGGACTGATATCCCTGAGGATGACTCTGGCTGCCCAAAGGTGCCTGCCTGTGTGCCCTCAGGGCCTGGTGCTAGCCGTGCCTGACACAGGGCATGAGTCTCAGGAATGTCTATGGAAAGAAGGCTGGAGGGAGGCAGGGCTTTTAGGTAGGTGAACCGGGGGGGGGGGGGGGGGGGGGGTTGTTGACAAACATAACCAGCATAGGAAAGAAATCAGAGCTAACAATAAGAGCCATCACATAGGTAGGACTTTCTGGAAAGATGCTCTGGCAAAATTCTAAAGAAAATTCTCTACTCTCAGAGACAGGTTTGAGAATGATCACCTACCCCTGTGTTGCTTATTGTTAGTTGTCTTTCTTCCCTTCCTTTTTCCTCCTTCCCCTCCCGAACAACATTTGCTGCGAGCCTACTGTTTGTAGAATATGGGCCAGGCTGGGGAAGGGGGAGATGGAGTGCTTGTAAAAAGCCGCAAAAAGACAAGGTCCAACTCAGAGTCCAAAAGTGCAGATGACAAAACAGAGAAAGAATTCAGCTGTTATTAACAAGCTTAAAACTCCAAACCTGGAAAAACAAATCCTCTACTGCTTAGTAAATATTTGTTGAATAGCTGAATGAGGGCCCATCATGCACCAGCCACTGTCCTTGGAGGGCACTGTAGGGGACACCAAGATAAGTAAGATACCACGTCTCCCTCCAGAAGTTCATTGGCTGCACCGCACGTCCTGGTCTATCCCTACCTGCTAAAGGATCAGTGCTCCTCTTCCTAGCTCATTTACTATGTAATTTCTCCCTAACCGAAGTCCCAGGACCTTGCTGGTTTTGCTCAGAAAGAACAGCTTCTGAGTACCGAGTACAATGGGAAAAAGTTCTTCAAACTGTTGTCATGTCATCATTCGATCGCAAAAATGACACCTCTGCCTCAATAGGTAAATGTGTAGGGAGGCAGGGGGAAGAGGAGAAAGGAAGGGGTGGACCCCAGAGATCACCACTCTTACGATTTGGTCTGCTCATCACAACCACCTGCTGATTTCAGTATGTAAAAAATAAAACATAAAAACGTACTCATGAGGGGCACCTGGGTGGCTCAGTCTGTTAGGCGTCTGCCTTCGGCTCAGGTCATAATCCCAGGGTTCTGGGATCCAGCCCCGCATTGGGCTCCCTGCTCCGCGGGGAGTCTCCTTCTCCCTCTGCTTGCAGCTCCCCTTGCTTGTATTCTTTCTAAGAAATAAAATCTTTAAAAAACAAAACCAGAATGTACTCGAGACGTGCCGCTGAAGGCACTGAATCATCAGAACCACCTGCACCTGAGCATCTTTTCTAGCAGCCATGTTAATTTGGAATATTTGCTCTGAATGGGTGGCTGCGTAGGGGGGTGTGCCTTGTGTCCTCCAAGCCCGTTCCCTTGCTTCTCTCATGTCATAATTCTATAAATCCAAAGAGACTATTCTGTAGAAGTTTAAAAAAGCATGTGGTCAATCCCCATTTCCTCGTTTACGCAGAATGAGAGGAATAAATGTGCGAATCAACGCGCTGAGAAGAGTGGCCTGTTGGGGGTGCGGGCGGCCAGTGCTCAGAGGAATTGGAACCGGAGATTCTTGGAGTGGGAGGGAAGGTGGCCGGAGGCCAAGTTAGGAAAGGCCTGGGAGGCCGTCCCGTACCCCGCGCCCCCGCGCCGGGCACAGTGTGAGGGCAGGGAGGGCTCCGGTCCACGTCGGTGGTTCCGCACAGCTCGCCCTGGCTGCCGCAGGGACGGGGGCTGGAGCCCGGGCAGACGCCGGGCAGAGGCCGGCCGACCAGTTTGGACGAGAAACCACGAAGGCCTGAGGGAGGGTGGTCGCAGAGGGATGGAAAGGCCAGGGCGACGTTCAGAGAAACCACAACACGCGGCGTCCTCCACGGCCCTGTTCTACGAGCCGAATTCGCTTTCTGGGCTGGGGGTGTTTCAAGGCCAGAAGCTTTCTGTTTGCTCTGCGCACCTGATCCTGCACCCTCCCTGCATTGTGAGCCACCAGCCGCAGAGAAATGACCACCCGCACCAAAGGGCCTCCGCAATTTGCAAAACACTGCCCAGGCGGCCCCGGG